CTTTGATGCCATGAGCTTCTACCTTTCTAATTAGTCTTTCGTGGGGGACTCTGTCGAAGGCTTTACTAAAGTCGAGATATACCACATCATATTTGTGCCCCTCGTCCACCGATTCGAAAACTGATGTAAAGAATGTTAATAGATTAGTTAGGCAAGAACGTCCGCTTGTGAAGCCATGCTGGGAATTATTGATCAATCGGTGCTTCTCCAGGTGATTTTCGATAGAGTTTGAAATGATTGCTCAGTAATTTGCCTACTAATGATGTTGGGATAGTGATCTATCCTTCTTGAAAAATCGGCGTACATTGGCTATCCTCCAGGATTCTGGTACTACCTGTTTTTAATGACATGTTAAACAACTTTGCTAAGGGCATACTAAGCTCTTCCTTACATTTCTTTGTCTCTGGCAAATATCTCGCCAGGACCAGGTGTCTTATTAGGCTTTAGTTTGTCTATTTGCTTACTAACATCGTTACTAGTCACTACTATCTCACTTAATTTGTTTTCTTCACTATCTCTGAATAGAGTCGGTGCCTCGGGTATCATGTTTAAATTTTCGGTGGTGAAAACTGTTGAAAAATATTTATTCAAATTATTGCTCATTTCTCCGTCGTTATCAGTGAGCTCGCCGAAGTCTGACCGTATTGGTCCAATCTTTTTTCGTGTTTTAGTTTGATACATTTGGTAGAATCCTTTGGGGTTTGTCTTCGCCTCCCTTGCTATCCTTACCTCATTATTCCTCTTTGCTTTCCTTATCTCGGTTTTAACCCTACTCGCCAATACCCTATAATAGTCCCGGAGGTGAATTTCGCCACGATTTATCCTTCTACCTCTGACGTATTGTCACGGATACCCACAAAATGTTCTATACTACTGAGGGTATACACAAACACTTGTTGTCTTAAAAGTAGGTTCTATTCTCGTACGGGAGATATATACAGTAGGATGCAGAAGCTCGCGTTCACACACCACGAGGACTCTGTCTTCTCTCTCCACATCTATCTTTGTATTACTGGGCGCTGGCCTGTACAGATGCCAGCATTCACATATATCATACACTACCTATAGCCTTCCTTTGGCCAATGATGTTCTTTAAATAATTATTTATCCATTTAGGGTCATTGTTGTCTGATCTGAGTTTTTTGTATGGTATGTTCTGCCTTTGTGCATTAAGTAACTCACTATTTAAATTGTCGTGGAACTCGGCAATCTCAGATCTCGTTATCAGGTCAGTGTCATCTGTCAGGTTCACAGCCAAGCGCGACACCCCCTCTCTCAGCTGCCTCTTTAAACTGTCAAAGTTTGCCCTTCTGAAATCTGGTACTTTAGTGGAATTTTCCTTACGTCTGCCCTGAAAATCTAACTGGAATCGAATTTCTTTGTGATCGCTGTTTGCAAGTTCGTTCCCTACCTCGACATTGCTAATTAGGTTTTCTCTGTTCGACAGAACTAAGTCCAGTATATTATTACCCCGTGTGGGTTCGGTTATATGTTGACTTAGGAAACAGTCCTGGATCGTCTCGAGAAAATCCTCTGCTTCTGAGTTACCCGTAAGGTCAGTCCAATCTATTTGGCCAAGGTTAAAGTCGCCTACTATACAGACTTTGTTGTGTGTGGAAGCCCTGCGCATTTCATCCTAGATAAGTCGCTCATTTTTCCCGACCGTCGCTTAATTCTATCCAAATTGTTTCTGTATTCCTCTCAGTTTTTATTTCCTTATTTATTTCACACTTCAGATTATCCCTAACATAGATTGCTACTCCGCCTCCTTTCCTGGTCTGCCTATCGGTATGGAACAGTTTGTAACCCGCAATTTGGTATTCGACTGGTAACTCACGTGTGTCTAGGTTGATCCATGTTTCAGTGAATGCAATTATATCGATTTTTTCGGTACATACCAAGGCCCTAATATCATCCATTTTGTTTCTCATACTTCTACTGTTCGTGTAGTATACATTTAAGTTAGTCGTGTTCTGAGTCCTCCCCTTACCGCGTTTAGTTTTAAACTCCCTGTCTAATTTAGTTTTGTCATCATTCCTAACACTATTTCCCTGTAGTCTTTCACTTTGTTTACCCGCTCCCACTGCAGTCTCCTCCACCCCCGTGCCCATATGTTCCCTTAGCAGTTTAAAGACTTCGATATCTTTTGAACTGCCCCTACTGTTTGTATAGTATACATTTAAACCTACTCTTCCCTGGTCCTGTTTTACCCCTTGTCCTGAGCAACTAATTTTACTTCCCAGGACCTGCTTGTTTTTTGACTCCCACTTTCCCCGACCCCTCTCTACTGGCGAAACCCCCCCTTCGGAGTGACAATTTCACGCTCCAGGGATGCAGACAACGTCTTTACCCCCTCACGAGACAAGTGTACTCCGTCACGACAGTACAGGTAGTCGTTGCCATAGAATCGTTGCCAGTTATCAATGAATGTCCAACCATTGTTTGCACAATGTTTTTCCAGATACACACTCACACAGACAGATACACACTTAATATACACCATTTTTATAAAGTATACTTATAATTAAGACAAATTGTGTGAGACTAACTAATTATGTATCAGATAGATCACCATGTAATACTAATGAACGCCTTTGTTCTCTGTAGGTGTTGACCACATCAATAAATATCGAACGCGTCAACAGTCGGGTTTCAATCATTCCCTTTGACTTGCCCGTCACCTGAACGTCCCTATTCCCAACGCGTTTATATTAGTCGTGATTTACTCATATTAAATTTTCGCTTTAGACATTAATGTATTTTTTTTTTAGAGGTAGAAGTTAATTTCAACGCGTATAATTCTTAGTATTTTCATCTGGGTCTGAATAATACGATAGCCGGTCATTTTAAGTGGCCAAAATGTAACACCATATTTTTACACAAGTTCTTTTTCAATAATTTCACGGTAAAATAATCACAGCAGAAGGGTATTTTACTAACCTGTGTTTGATGGAGGAGGGAACTGTTCGATGATAGAGAGTCAAGCGGCCAGGTTGTGTTTGTTGACAGAGTACAGACGAGGCTTAGCTAACAACTTGTCCGTACACTGTGAATACATCAACAAAGAATAAATACCCAATTTCCTTCATTACATCAACTAATTCCAAATAAAATCACCTTAAAATATCAAAATAATATATAATTTATCATATTATTTAATTATTTTTATAGTAGTTATTAATTATATTGTTTTAAAGTATAAGGAAGTCAAAATGCACTCATTCGGACAAATTGTACTGAAAAAAAATCATGTGGGATTTAAATTATTATTATTATTATTTCCTTTTAAACAATAAATATAAAATATCCAGATTAATACACGTTCATAAGGTTAATATTCCTCATTAATTGTGATATAAAAATGTATCTAACTGGTTGATCTAAACTGAAATAAAATATAAATTAATAACCCAACTCGAATCACCACGTAAAAGTTAGAAAAATAACAAAATTTAACATGATTAACTTACCTACGTTAATAGTTTATAAATAGTCTTTAACTCTAATCTTCAGTTAAGACAAATATTTTTTTTCCCACATGATATAACGACGATACAGTGAAACCTCCATATAACGGACTTCTCCCTCCATATAATCCGTTAGCTGGAGGGCTTCATAACGGACCCTCGATATAAAGAACTTTCATCTCATTATAGTTCGTTACATGGGGAATTGGAGGAAGGAGTTGGTGAGGGGTACAGGGGGGTGGGGGAGTAGAAGGGGTGGGGAGTAGAGGGGGTGGGGGGTAGGGGGGTGGGGAGTAGAGGGGGTGGGGGAGTAGAGGTGAAGTAGAGTGGGGAGTAGAGGTGGGGGTAGAAATTTGGGGGTAGAGATTCAGAGATGAGAGAGGTGGGGAAGTAGAGGTGGGGGAGTAGAGTGGGGGAGTAGGGGGGTGGGGAGGAGAGTGGGAGTGGTAGAGGTGAGGGAGTAGGGGGTGGGGAGTGGGGGGTGGGGGAGTAGGGGGGTGGGGGGTAGGGGGGTGGGGTGTGGGGGGGTGGGGCGTGGGGGGTGGGGGGTGGGGGGTGGGGGAGTGGGGGTGGGGAGTGGGGGTGGGGTGGGGGGTGGAGGTGGGGGGAGTGGGGGGTGGGGAGTGGGGTGGGGAGTGGGGGTGGGGTGGGGGTGGGGTGGGGTGGGGAGTGGGAGTTGGGGTGGGGGGTTGGGGTGGGGTGGGTGGGGTTGGGGTGGGGGGTGGGGAGTGGAGTTGGGGTGGAGTTGGAGTGAATTGGGGGAGTGGGGGGTGGGGGAGTAGAGGGGGTGGGGAGTAGAGGGGTGGGGAGTAGAGGGGGGTGGGGGAGTAGAGGGGGGCTGTTATCTATCTATCTATCTATCTATCTATCTATCTTCTTTTATTAATGTTTCAAACTTTTTCTTTTCAGGATTTTGATTGGAGGGAAAAACGGCGTTAGCAAGTTCTGACGTCACTAAGGTCTGACGTCACCAAGTACTGACGTCATCAAGTTCTGACGTCATCAAGTTCTTACGTCACCAAGTTCTGACATCCCTCAGCCCCGTCTACACCAGGTTATGAAATCAACAAGTTCTGACGTCACCAAGTTCTGACATCCCTCAGCCCTGACATCACCAAGTTCTGACATCACTAAGCCCTGACATCACCAAGTTCTGACATCACTAAGCCCTGACATCACCAAGTTCTGACATCACTAAGCCCTGACATCACCAAGTTCTGACATCACTCAGCCCTGACATCACCAAGTTCTGACATCACTAAGCCCTGACATCACCAAGTTCTGACATCACTAAGCCCTGACATCACCAAGTTCTGACATCACTAAGCCCTGACATCACCAAGTTCTGACGTCACTAAGCCTTGACATCACCAAGTTCTGACGTCACTAAGCCTTGACATCACCAAGTTCTGACGTCACTAAGCCTTGACATCACCAAGTTCTGACGTCACCCATTCCTACGAGTATCTATCTCTATCTCTATGTCTCTCTATCTCTCTCTCACTGACATCATTACACACTGAAGTCACCGTGATGTCAAGACGAGCTACCACCTGGGAACAATATACTCACGAGCTGTTCAATCAAGCTCACCTGTCTCTAATTGCCGAGGACAGGTACGAGATAACGGAGAGGTCTCGTGAGGAGGACAGGAGTGAGAGGTCTCGTGAGGAGGACAGGAGTGAGAGGTCTCGTGAGGAGGACAGAAGTGAGAGAAGTGAGGAGGTCTCGTGAGGAGGACAGGAGTGAGAGGTCTCGTGAGGAGGACAGGAGTGAGAGGTCTCGTGAAGAGGACAGGAGTGAGAGAAGTGAGAGGTCTCGTGAGGAGGACAGGAGTGAGAGGTCTCGTGAAGAGGACAGGAGTGAGAGAAGTGAGAGGTCTCGTGAGGAGGACAGGAGTGAGAGGTCTCGTGAGGAGGACAGGAGTGAGAGGTCTCGTGAGGAGGACAGGAGTGAGAGGTCTCGTGGGGCATATACCGAGGACAAGAGTGAGGTAAAGCAGGAAAGATCTTACGAGATATATGGCGAGGACAGAAGCCACGTCTTGTCCTCGTTTCACCTGAAGAGAGACGAGACGAGTGTGACGAGATCGCCGCCAAATAGAATCCAATCGAGACCAGACGAGACAGAGGCTCGATCCCCTGTTCTCAAGACATTGCCTCCGCCACTATTACCGTTGGACCACTCAGCGACGTTTAAACGCAATGTCTCAGGCGTTGAAATTCAGTCTACGAGTCATTCCACGTTGCCCAGACACACTTCAACGCCAAGACACACTTCAACGCTAAGACACACTTCAACGCCACTATCTAGACACATTTCAGCGCTATCATCCAGAGACACTTCAACGCCAAGACACACTTCAACGCTATCTTTACACAGTTCATCACCCCTACCTAAGCATATCTCAACGCTATCCTTGCACAGTTCAACGCCACAACACACTTCAACGCTACCTGTTCACAGTTCAACGTCGCCACACCCTCAACGCACTTTAACGCCACCCTTACAGAGTTCAACGCTACCTGTTCACAGTTCAATGCATCATATATATAGTGTGACGCCCCATATACACAGTTTGACTCCCTTAACGCAATGTTCAACGCCACCCAGGCATAGTTCAACGTCTCCCAGGCATAGTTCAACGCCACCCAGGCATAGTTCAACGTCTCCCAGGCATAGTTCAACGCCATTCAGGCATAGTTCAACGCCACCCAGGCATAGTTCAACGCCACCCAGGCATAGTTCAACGCCACCCAGGCATAGTTCAACGTCTCCCAGGCATAGTTCAACGCCACCCAGACACACTTCAACGCCAAGACACACTTCAAAGCCAAGACACACTTCAACGCCAAGACACACTTCAACGCCAAGACACACTTCAACGCTAAGACACACTTCAACGCCACTATCTAGACACATTTCAGCGCTATCATCCAGAGACACTTCAACGCCAAGACACACTTCAACGCTATCTTTGCACAGTTCATCACCCCTACCTAAGCATATCTCAACGCTATCCTTGCACAGTTCAACGCCACAACACACTTCAACGCTACCTGTTCACAGTTCAACGCCGCCACACCCTCAACGCACTTTAACGCCACCCTTACAGAGTTCAACGCTACCTGTTCACAGTTCAATGCATCATATATATAGTGTGACGCCCCATATACACAGTGTGACTCCCTTAACGCAATGTTCAACGCCACCCAGGCATAGTTCAACGCCACCCAGGCATAGTTCAACGTCTCCCAGGCATAGTTCAACGCCACCCAGGCATAGTTCAACGCCACCCGGGCATAGTTCAACGCCACCCAGGCATAGTTCAACGTCTCCTAGGCACAGATCAACACCACATTGTTCAACGCCATACACTTCAGCGCTACCCACGCCGCGTCGAAACTCTCCACCTCCTCTCCTGCCGATAACGCCCTTAACGCTCCTCTCAACGCTACAAGAACACTTCATTTCAACCCCTCCTTCACCACCCTCTCAACGCACCTCCACGCCGACCTCTCAACGCAACTCCCCGTCCACTACCCCGCCCTCACGACGCACTACATCGCCCTCACGACGCACTACCCCGCCCTCACGACGCACTACCCCGCCATCACGACGCACTACCCCGCCATCACGACGCACTACCCCGCCATCACGACGTCCCACCCCGCCCACTTCCACGCCCATTTCAACGCCGCTTTTCCATGCCAACATATCAACGCCATCAACAGATTGTTATTCACCAACAAGACGAGAAATGGAAGAGGAAATTAGACTCCAAAGAAAGGTGAGTATATGACTGTCTTGCCCCAAAATGATTACCAGTGCGAGCATTCACTAGCGTCTGGCGTAAACTATCCACCCAATAAAATCAATCTTACTGTGAAATAAACTAGGGTAACTAATCTTCAGGTCATCTAAAACACCTGTGATTATAATGATAAATTAACAGGTATGTGGTGTATGTGGTGATGTGGCCAGGTCGCTACACTTCGGCGGATTGGCTTGTGACTCCTGTAAGGCCTTCTTCAGGAGAGCTGTCTTAAGTAAAGCCTATCGTACCTTCGTCTGTACCAGCGATCAACAGTGCGTAATAACTGTTGATTCTCGACGGAGTTGCCAGGAGTGCAGGTCAGTTGAGTGTCTGTATGGTGTCTCTATGGTGTCTGTATGTCTGTATGGTGTCTGTATGTCTGCATGGTGTCTGTATGGTGTCTGTATGTCTGCATGGTGTCTGTATGGTGTCTGTATGTCTGCATTGTGTCTGTATGGTGTCTCTATGTCTGCATGGTGTCTGTATGGTGTCTCTATGTCTGCATGGTGTCTGTATGGTGTCTGTATGTCTGCATGGTGTCTGTATGGTGTCTGTATGTCTGTATGGTGTCTGTATGGTGTCTCTATGTCTGTCTGTCTGTTAGTAATCCATCCTCCAGACGATATTAATTTAAGCAAGTTACTCCAATCTTCTAGGTAGAGAGTGTGGAGTAAGAATGGAATATGAGAAAACGGAGGAGTGTGATGGTAAACTTATGTATTTTCATGGGTGAGATACGTGTTTGTGCTAGCGTGTGTTTGTGTGTGTTTTTGTGTAATTGTATTTATATGTATGTGTTTGCGTGTATGTGTGTGTGTGTATGTGTGTTTGTTTGTGTCGAGTAGACTTGTGGTTATGAGTGAGTGTGTGATTATTTGTGTGTGTACAAGTAAGGGATGCTGTGTGTGTGTGTGTGTGTGTGTGTAGTAAAAAAGTGAGGTTGAATGCATAACAATCAATAAAAATATCTGCGTACCTAACCTAACCAAACCCAACCAAACCCAACCTAACCAAATCCAACCCAACCTAACCTATACACCTGTTGATTAAAGTAATATATTCTCACAGGTGTTATAAATAGCCATGACGAGAGAGAGAGAGAGAGAGAGAGAGAGAGAGAGAGAGAGAGAGAGAGAGAGAGAGAGAGAGGAAGCTAAGAATCCACTACTATTAACGATAAGCAGTATTTCACTTCTGATAACCCGTGATAAGAAACTGCTTCATCACCCACACTAGGGCATAATATTCTCAATTCTTACTACATACCCAACACCAAACCAGTGACTAAATATATACAAAAAATACCCTATATAAATCTACTTTCGATGTATATATATATAAATTAGGTATTATAATCCATACGGTGGATATATTTACATAGTTTATATAGGTATTTTCTTGACAAGTGTAGAGTGGTGAAGGTCGGAATGTGAGGCAACATCTGGCAACCTATTGTATTTGCTTACTAAAATACACGTTAAGATTCTTACAGTAGTTTAGTCGTAATGGTTAACTAGTGTTGAAATAAACTCGTTAAGGGTTTGTTTATATAACTGATCAGTGTGTGTTTACATCCCGATAGCCGATAAAAAAAAAACCTGTTTATTTACATCCTGAAAGACGAAAACTACAAAATCAACTAAATAAGGTAGAGGTTAATGTTAGACTTGTGGTTTGTTTTGGTTACGTGTTCGTGTATAAACAGAATGTCCATATTTAATCCAGATTTAACCCCAATTTAACCTTTAATGCTGATTTAATCCCTAAATAACCCCTATTTAATCCATATTTAACCTTTATTTAATCCCAATTAATCCATATTTAACCCAAATTTAATTTATTCCAGATTTAACCCTTATTTAACCCTTATTTAACCCTGATTTAACTCTTCTTATTGCCCCTCATAATAGGATGTTGGATTTACCTCACATTAACATAGGAAATATATTTGTTGAGTTAAAATCTTGTTTGTGATGTTTAGCTGTTCGTGGTACTGAATGTTATAGTCACCTATTATCAAGGCTTATTTAACCCTTATTTTAATCTTATTTAATCTTATTTAACCCTATGTGTAACCGCCATTCAGCTGGTTAAAGGATAATCAGACTTGTGACGTTGAACTCAAATATTATAATTCGGTCAACCTCTTGGATACAATTCATTTTAGTAATTAACCTAAATCATACATGACAATCATAGCTTTGTAATTAATCTAATCTTAACACTTACAATGAGTACTTAATTTGCCATATTTTATGTTACCACAATGATAAACGAAGCAACGGACACAGTCTACATGTGTACATAATAAGTACTAGTTAAACTTATGTGTTGAAAGTCTCAAGAGAAACCAGGTTAGGTGTTGCCTCTGTGGTCTGAATAACTTAATGAGGAACCAGGTTAGGTGTTGCCTCTGTGGTCTGAATAACTACAGTGCCGATACACCAGCCGCCTCCCCAACCCTCTCTCGATGGGTGAGGGCTGTTGAGTCAGGCGATTATACACAAACAAACTCCCTTACTACCACCCAACACCTCACCTCCTCTGGGTCTCTCATCTCCACCATGTTAACACTCTACACACGGTATACTGGCAGGCACACCCAATAAACATGACATGACTTACAGCCTAACATGGGTCTCTCATCTCCACCATGTCAACACTCTACACACGGTATACAGGCAGGCACACCCAATAAACATGACATGACTTACAGCCTAACATGGGTCTCTCATCTCCACCATGTCAACACTCTACACACGGTATACAGGCAGGCACACCCAATAAACATGACATGACTTACAGCCTAACATGGGTCTCTCATCTCCACCATGTCAACACTCTACACACGGTATACAGGCAGACACACCCAATAAACATGACATGACTTACAGCCTAACATGGGTCTCTCATCTCCACCATGTCAACACTCTACACACGGTATACTGGCAGGCACACCAATAAACATGACATGACTTACAGCCTAACATGGGTCTCTCATCTCCACCATGTCAACACTCTACACACGGTATACTGGCAGGCACACCCAATAAACATGACATGACTTACAGCCTAACATGGGTCTCTCATCTCCACCATGTCAACACTCTACACACGGTATACAGGCAGACACACATGACATGACTTACATAAACTCTCATCTCCACCATGTCAACACTCTACACACGGTATACTGGCAGGCACACCCAATAAACATGACATGACTTACAGCCTAACATGGGTCTCTCATCTCCACCATGTCAACACTCTACACACGGTATACAGGCAGACACACCCAATAAACATGACATGACTTACAGCCTAACATGGGTCTCTCATCTCCACCATGTCAACACTCTACACACGGTATACAGGCAGACACACCCAATAAACATGACATGACTTACAGCCTAACATGGGTCTCTCATCTCCACCATGTCAACACTCTACACACGGTATACAGGCAGGCACACACCCAATAAACATGACATGATCTCTTCATGTTTCAACATGGGTCTCTCATCCCCACCATGTCAACACCCCACACGGTATACAGCAGATACACCTGGCCAAACATGACATGACCAGCCTAACATGGGTCTCTCATCTCCACCATGTCAACACTCTACACACGGTATACAGGCAGGCACACCCAATAAACATGACATGACTTACAGCCTAACATGGGTCTCTCATCTCCACCATGTCAACACTCTACACACGGTATACAGGCAGGCACACCCAATAAACATGACATGACTTACAGCCTAACATGGGTCTCTCATCTCCACCATGTCAACACTCTACACACGGTATACTGGCAGGCACATCCAATAAACATGACATGACTTACAGCCTAACATGGGTCTCTCATCTCCACCATGTCAACACTCTACACACGGTATACTGGCAGGCACACCCAATAAACATGACATGACTTACAGCCTAACATGGGTCTCTCATCTCCACCATGTCAACACTCTACACACGGTATACAGGCAGACACACCCAATAAACATGACATGACTTACAGCCTAACATGGGTCTCTCATCTCCACCATGTCAACACTCTACACACGGTATACAGGCAGGCACACCCAATAAACATGACATGACTTACAGCCTAACATGGGTCTCTCATCTCCACCATGTCAACACTCTACACACGGTATACAGGCAGGCACACCCAATAAACATGACATGACTTACAGCCTAACATGGGTCTCTCATCTCCACCATGTCAACACTCTACACACGGTATACAGGCAGACACACCCAATAAACATGACATGACTTACACCCTAACATAATGTTTGTTTATGTGTTATCCTATTCATTACTGCTTGCGGTAACACCTATTAACCCCTACTTTCCACTGTTTACCCTTATTAACCCCTATTTTATCATATTAACCCTTATTTTCCACTGTTTATCCTTAATTAACCTCTATTTACCCTTATTAACCCTCATTTTACCCTTATTTAACCCCTATTTACCCTTATTTTATCATATTAACCCTTATTTTCCACTGTATCCTTATTTAACCCCTATTTACCCTTATTTAACCCCTATTTTCCCTTATTAACCCTCATTTTACCCTTATTTAACCCCTATTTACCCTTATTTTATCCTATTAGCCCTTATTTTATCATATTAACCCTTATTTTCCATTGTTTATCCTTATTTAATCCCTACTTACCCTTATTTAACCCCTATTTACCCTTATTAACCCTCATTTTACCCTTATTTAACCCCTATTTACCCTTAGTTTATCATATTAACCCTTATTTTATCATATTAACCCTTATTTTCCATTGTTTACCCTTATTTAACCCCTATTAACCCTTATTTTACCCTTATTAACCCTTATTTAACCCTAATTTACCCTTATTTTCCACTATTTACACTTATTAACCTTTATTTAACCCCTATTATCCTTTATTTACCCCTAATTAACTCTAACCCTCAGGTAGCATCAGGTGTCTAATCCTCAGGTGTAAAAATACTCATAATTACATTTTTGTTACGTATTAATTATTATTTTTTTTAAAACTAAAGTGATAATTAATTTAGTGTTATTTTAGCCATTATTTATTTGTTTAGTAAAAATATGTATCACAAGATTTTAATTTGTATTTATTATTTTTGTTTTATGAGATGTTATTGGGATAGTTTCTTACAATAGTTGACTGAAATAAAGATATTGTTATTATTATTATTATTATTATTATTATTATTATTATTATTATTATTATTATTATTACTACTGTTATTATTATTGTTATTATTATTTGTAGTAGTAGTATTAATATTATTATTATTATTATTGTTATTATTATTATAATTGTTGTAATTATTATTATTATTATCATCGTTATTATTATTATTATTATTATTATTATTATTATTATTATTATTATTATTACTACTGTTATTATTATTGTTATTATTATTTGTAGTAGTAGTATTAATATTATTATTATTATTATTGTTATTATTATTATAATTGTTGTAATTATTATTATTATTATCATCGTTATTATTATTATTATTATTATTATTATTATTATTTCATAACATCACTACAGTTTAGTTTATGTTACAGGCTGTATTTACTGCACTATGTTAGGTTAGATAACGTTGGATCTCTCTCTCTCCATATATACATGACGTACAGTACATCGGTTAGGACACAAACATGTACAGTATACATCAACACTACCCGGGGTTAGTCTAATTCACAATTGATTGGTTGCGCTGGTTGTGACGTCAGAAGAATGACGTCACTAGTGTCTATGACGTCAGAGGAGAGAGAGAGAGAGAGAGAGAGAGTGTGTGTGTGTGTGTGTGTGTGTGTGTGTGTGTGTGTGTGTGTGTGTGATAATAATAGCCGTAATTTAACGTTTTATTGAAAAGAAACCTTGGCAGACAGAAGGCTGAAAATATACAGTTACATATTTAGAATGGGTTTCCGAATTAAATAATATACAAAGTAACATAGGTAGCACAAATAAGGCATAAATAACTAGATGGGGAAAAGCTCAAACTACAGTTCATTTCAACATAGTGACAGTGTAAGGAGCAGTGTTTACTGGGAGTGAATACACTGATTTATTACAAGTTATTGATAATCTTTACAATGGTTGGGACTGGGCTGTTCTTATAGCGATCAGTTCGTGCACGTATGGGCTGGATGCGGTTGTGGTGTCGAACAGCAATTCTCGGGCGAGGGATCTCAGGTGGTAGTAGGAACCGGTTCCTACAACACAAAAAAAACTAACCTAACCATCATTACAGGTTCGCTGGCTGTTTGCGCGCTGGTATGGACGTGTCGCTGGCCAAACGTGAGGACGAGAGAACGCACCACTCGAATCCCACCTACCACCACCACCGCCACCAACAACAACAACAACAACCACCACCACCACAACGCCGCCACGAACGGATTAATCATAACATAAATGTAATCCAGACGCCTTATCCAAGCTTATCCATCCGGGACATGACCCCAGGGTCGAGTTATGGTCTCAGTAGCTCTCAGGGTCCAAGGCCATTGTTTTCTCAGGGCTATGGCGAAGGAGGGGTAGTTATGGGATCTGGGTATCCGAGAGCTGAGGGTTCTGCTCCGTCGATAAGGGGTTCCTCAAGGGGTGACGCTGGCTCCTTCGTCAGTTATCATCGACCCTTCCCCGGGGATAACTTCGTCACTAGTTATCCAGGTCTGGGGAGTAGTCTTATGCCTGGTACTAGTTATATGCCTTCAGGTCTCCATGAACGTACTAGTGGTAATATGGCTAGACATGAGCCCCCTAGACATAGCCCCCCCAGCAGCTATAATCTCGTGGGTAGTATTAGTCCACAAAATAGCCACATGCCTATGGTGTGTGCTAGTTCGCCAAGTAGTCCCACACGACATAGCCCCATGGGAGACTATAGCCCTCCTCATAGCCAGGCTTCTATGGCTACTACCAGACCGACTGTTATTAGCAGCCGAGTGTTGCCCACTACCCAAGATGACGGCCGCTCCTCCTCCACACCCTGGGGGGAGGTGAAGAAGGAGCCAGCCATCACGGAACTTCAAGTCAACCCCGCCGCCCTTGAGAGATCCAGTAGTTCAGGTAGTGGCGGCCCGTCTACCTTACTACCTCAGTCTCCGCTGGTGTTTGGGAAGGAT